TCTCTTCTGACTTAAAATAACAATGAAATTCGTAACTTCAGAGATTACGTATATAATAAATAGGCAGTGAGGTATGGTTTAATTATTATTAATTTTTTGATGGACACTGTCCTGATTGTATTTTTCTCTTACAGAATTGTAAGTCACATTAATTAATGGATATTTTAAGCATCTTACAGTTTGTCCCGCATTGAGATTTTAAATATAAACTATTATTTAAAAAAATTCAAGAAATAGCTTCTAAACTTGAAACTTAGTTGGATATTTAAGATAAAAAAGTGTTTTATATTTTAAAGTCGTCAATGTTAACATTTGCAATATTTGTAAGTTTTAAAGTTTTTGACCCATAACAAAGGACGGAAATTTCTAACTTAACTTGAGATTTGCATACTTTCAGCAATACGTGGAACTTTTTCAGGCTTAACATTTAATGATGTTAGGCCTATAAGCGAAACTCGTTAGGTTTAACAGAAACAGAAATATTTTGTTGATATAAATGTTTTCATTGCCTTTAATATATATAAAACATTGAGTACGTTATATTAAAACGATTTTGAATACGCATATCAGTAAGTCACGTGAAAACCGTATATCATACAATGTCGCGGTGGGATGACATGTCTCAGAGTACATTGTGACATTGTTTGGCGGTACATAGTTAATGATATACCACAGAAAATTGATCGCATTTGCGAAATGTAACAGTCCTTTCCGATGCAAAATATTCATACATTTAGTTCAAGAAGGTGTGTCCAAATCAGAGATATTTAATTCCAAAGACAGAGATGTCCTTTGTACTTAATGGTACTAAAAAGGAATATGGATCATCTTGGAACATCAGGATCATCCAGAAAGAGACCTACAGCAAGTCATATCCCAGCTGTGGTAAGTAAAGTCAGGGGAAAAGCCGTCCACGTGTATCAAAGAGCAATATACATCATAATCAAAAAGGATCTCCATCTCGAAAAGCGACGCAAGTTCCATCTATAGAAGTTGCTCACATTAAACATCCATTCAACCCTCGCATATCTCAAGTAGCTGGGCAATGAAACAAGTATTCATGCTATTCCATACGAAGACATACTGATGTAGCACCTGTAGATTTTTGTGTAATTGGACTGTTGAAACGAATACTGTGATCCATCGTTCTTCTGAACTAGATGGATTATAGAAAGCAGTAGGGTGGAGGGGTATATATTTGATATAATAACCTTACGAAGGAGCCTTTTTGCGATGGAAACTATGTTCAAAGCTATCGTTAACCTGCATGGTCGTCAGATAGAACATGATTAAACGTGGCTACATAGACTACAAGGTTTCAAAATTATTTTAATATAACGTACTCATCATCTGTATAGCAAGATTTTTCTGTCCTAATTTCTCTATCATTGAGATTTTCATTTTTTTTTAGATTGTACTACTCAAAACACAGGAGAGAACTTTTTCAAGATTATTCTAGACCTTACGTTTCTGGTGAATATGTTGAATGTACTTACAGGACTGCTTGTTATGGGCTTCAACGAAGCAACACTTGAGCCTCACGTCAGACAAGTATTTTATTTCGTTTACCTTTTGCTTTCTATTATTTTAAATGAAACAAAATGTAATAAAGAACACAATTTTGAACAATTTATTGAGCACCATACAAATGTTCTTCATACATGTTTGATCATACTTGTAATGTTTTCTAAAACAATTATTTTAGGTCTTCTATTCTGACTGGTAGATTGGTTTTGATTCTGTTTTATTAATTTTAGGTCTTCTATCCTGACTGGTAGATTGTTTTTGATTCTGTTTTATTAAATTTAGGTCTTCTATCCTGACTGGTAGATTGTTTTTGATTCTGTTTTACTAAGAATTCCCTGCTGACTGAAAGATTAATTTACATTATTTTAGGTCTTCTATCCTGACTGGTAGATTGTTTTTGATTATTTTTTAAATTAATTTTAGGTCTTCTATCCTGACTGGTAGATTGTTTTTGATTCTGTTTTACTAAGAATTCCCTGCTGACTGAAAGATTAATTTACATTCGATTTCATTATTTTAGGTCTTCTATCCTGACTGGTAGATTGTTTTTGATTCTGTTTTATTAATTTTAGGTCTTCTATCCTGACTGGTAGATTGTTTTTGATTCTGTTTTACTAAGAATTCCCTGCTGACTGAAAGATTAATTTACATTCTATTTCATTATTTTAGGTCTTCTATCCTGACTGGTAGATTGTTCTTGATTCTATTTCATTCATAATTTTACTCCCCGCTTTTATTGCTACACTCCTCATGCGACATTGTAGACAGTACAATCCTTTTAATTAATAATTTTTATTATTTTGCCAAGAAGGGTGATGAGATCATGAATATTAGTGATAACATTTCAAATCTTATATTATTGCAGTTGGATTAAGCTATTTACACTACTCAAACTAAACCATTAACCTGATTTTTAATGAGTCATTAATTTAAAGTACTATGCACATTAAACGTCATAATTAAGCACAGAGCTACACAATGGACTATTTGTACGCTGCCCACCACGGGTATCGAAACCCGATTTATAGCGTTATAAAATACTGCTGTGCCACTGGGGGGCCCAAGATTATGTAAACTTTTATATGTATGTTATCAGAATAAAGCAATTCGGTAGAACATTCTTCTATATATGATAAAGTAATTCTATAATATATTCTTGTATATATGATAAAGTAATGTTATAATATATTCTTCTATTTATGATAAAGTAATGCTAAAATATGGTATTGTATTTATGATAAAGTAATTCTATAATATATTCTTCTATATATGATAAAGTAATTCTATAATATATTCTTCTATATATGATAAAGTAATTCTATAATATATTCTTCTATACATGATAAAGTAATGCTATAATATATTCTTCTATTTATGATAAAGTAATTCTATAATATATTCTTCTATACATGATAAAGTAATTCTATAATATATTCTTCTATATATGATAAAGTAATGCTATAATATATTCTTCTATATATGATAAAGTAATTCTATAATATATTCTTCTATACATGATAAAGTAATTCTATAATATATTCTTCTATATATGATAAAGTAATGCT